CTGGGAGTTGAAGTCCACTCATCTTAAAGTGGCCAAGTTTGGACAACACTGGCTTACAGGATCTTATGTGTTCCCAGCAGCTCACCCGTTTCTCTTGCTGGGGCAGGATGCGGTATGCATACTCCCCAGGCAGCGCGTGATCTCAGAGAAGTGTGCATGCCTGTCTCTGCACACCTTCCGATGTGCTACTGAAACTCATCAAGCTGATGTGCTGCCAAGTGGGCAGAGTTCCTTCTGTAGCCTGTGAATGTGAGCAGTCAGCTTCACAGAATTGCGGGAAAGGTTCTTGCAGTCATAAATATTCTAAGCTAGTTTGTACACTGATAGTGTTCTGTAAGTGATCAAGGGCACTGATCAAGTCTTTTGTTGCCTTTGTTTCTGCTTGACTGGAACTTAGTCATTCACAGGTGCATGTGGTGGAATTTCACTATGTTGCAATGAAGAAGTAAAGAGGCAGAAAAAATGGGGAAACTGTTGGTTTTACAGTGGCAACATAATATTGTTTGTATAGTTCAGGACCATCAAGGCAAGGTATATAATGAGCGTGACTTGATAAATTCTTTTTTTTTTTTCCATTTTTATACTCAGTAATATAGGCTTAATTTGACAGCTTCTAATGAACAAATTGATTTTTGAATATTTTTAAAAGATTTCTTAAGGTCAGAAGGTTGAATTAGTTGCACTATCATTGTTCCAAGAAATTGTTGGTACTATTAAATTTATGAAAATAAGGAAAGCTCCTGGCCTAGCTTCTTGCACCTGCATCATTAGAGGTATAAACTGAAGCCTTTTTTAAAATAGAGTTCTCCCTTCCTCTTTTTTATGAGGCTTATATAATGGAGATATTGAAACATGGTAAGGATTCTTTTGAATGTATAAGCTATCACCCAATTTATGTACTAAATGTGCATGCTAAAATGTTGATGTTACTCTGGCACACAGACTGTAAAATATATTACTCTTGGTAATTCATCGTGCTCAATCTGGCATCATGGTGACAAATGTCAGGTAACATCAGACTGCAGATTGATATTTATTTATTTATTGCTTGTTTGGCTGGTGTGGGTCTTCCGGGCTGTGTGGCCGTGGTCTTGAA